ATATAAAAACTGATGATGGTGGAAAAATACACCGAAACGTATTTTGATTAATAAATAGAGACAATAAATGACTGAAACCCAGGAATAGATTTGATATCTCTGTTATGTCATTGCAGCCCAATCAGGACAACCAATCTCGAACTGAAGACACCAGCAGAACACAGGAAGAAGATAGTGAGGACGTAACGGGCGATCACGACCCGCACTTTGAGCCTATAATTCCTCTGCCTGATGAGATTGTCGTTTGCACGGGCGAAGAAGATGAAACAGTGTTGTTCAATGAAAGGGCCAAGCTGTTCAGGTTCGATGCAGACACTAAGGAATGGAAAGAGCGCGGCATCGGACCCTTCAAGCTGCTGTATCATCCGCAGAATGAAACTTACAGGTAGTTTTTCAGTTGAATTGATGGTGGGGAACAGCTATTTATGGGGCTTTTTAGGTTGCTTTTGAGGCGCGAGCAAGTTCACAAAGTGGTGCTAAATCAGCGAATCACCCCAGACTTTGAGCTGCAGCCAATGGCCAGTTCAGATCAGGCGTGGATATGGGCTGGGATGAACTACGATGAGGGGACAGCCAAGCTCGAAAAGCTGGCAATTAAGTTTAAAAACTGCGAATTATCCCAATCGTTCAAGAAATGCGTTGACGGAATCATACCGAAGGTACTTTCCTACTCTGGCTCTGGTGACTATTTTTGCTAGATGTTTGGTTTTTCAGGTGGTAGAGATTCAGGCCAATAAGAGTGGAGTGAGTGATAACATCCCCATTACTGTTCAGAATTTAAGTATCAGCAGCAAGTCCGACAGTTATGATCCAACTAATGAAGCGGACGAAGATGATGATGATGATGATGAGGAGGACGATGACGACGACAGGTAAGTTGAATGTTAAATAATCAAGCAAAATATGACCCAAAAGTTCTGTGTCAGAAGCGTTATGTTCACGAAACGTTGCACTCTGAGTGAGCAAGTGAACGGCCAGTGGAATCACGTGTGCATCGGCGATCTGCAGGTTTATTACGACTCGGAAATGTATGGTGCACGAATCAGTATCATCTGCGACGATGGTGAGATAGTCAGCAATACCATTATTGGGGCAAACACTTCCATGCAGGTAATTCACTTAGTGAACCAATCAAATTGCATGTGTTTAATCAACTCTTTTGACACAGATTAAGGATAAGGAATGTTGGTGGACGGCAGTCGAATGGGCCACGGTGGATCATCTGCAGTGGAGAACGTTAAAAGTTACGTTTAGCAGCACAATGGCCGCCGAAGAATTCCATTCAAATTACATGGAGGGTCTGAATTATGCCCAAGAGGCGAACATTATCGACGCACTACCGAATGATGTTGAAGGCAATTGAGCAACAGACTAAACTTGCTATTTTCCAAAATTGTTTGTAGAACTTCCTTTCATTAGACTAATATTTTTTAAAAGAAGCTAAGAGTAAATGGGTAAATTAGTAGTTTGATGTGCAGGGCTCTTTCTTTATGGCAAACCCCAAAGAGTTAAAGAATGAAGCTTGTGTTCGAGGCTCGTTTTCCAGTAGATTATTTTCATACACATGCTCAATGACAAAGCGCGCAAGGAAAGAAGCCTGTATTGATGTGATGTTTTGATAAGCCTGTAGGTTACCTGTTATTTTATAAATCAGTTCAATGTAAAAGTATATATTCAGTCCAAATGATCTTTTAGTACATTAGTCCAAGGCCCACACCTTAACATACTCCACTTGTAATTTAGCCTCGGTTTTCCAGGAGGATTGCCACTGGTTGCGCGCTTTGTAGAACTCCTTCTGGCTGATTGGTTGGTTGTTGAACCACGGTTTCGTCCCATCCGAACGGTCGTCAAAATTGTGGCCGCCGGCTCCAACGCCCACCACTATGTGCATCTACAAACACAGAAGTTTCTCATAAATTTACATGCTTTAGCATCTTATACCTCTTTGTCGAATGGTGCGATTTTGGTGCCCGATTTCCATTTGTCGCTGTTCTTCAAATGCAAGTTAGTTGCCAAACTTGCAAATCCTCCCTCGGGAGGAAATATCGTTCCATAGACCATGTTATCCACACTTAGGGTGATGCTGTCTGGAATTGGTTGAGGGTGATTTTTAGTTATTAAGTGGCACTTTTCTGGAGGAAATTACCTGGTTTCCACAGAGCAGAGAAGTTGTGGAAATCGTCCGTCCAAGACTGGGTTTTCTCTATGGTTTTCATGGCGTATTTCCTTGCTGCTGGTATTGATCCCAATATAACGCCGCCCTCCAGTTTTCTGTTTTCGCCCTCGTTGCCTGCAGCAAACGCGATTCTGATCTGGCCGGATTCGTACCCCGATCCGTACTCTTCAGACTCGGAGTTTAGATACAGTTCTAGGAGGAATTAGCGTGTTTTTTTGAAGATGATGTTTTGAAACTGTGCTTACCCGGATACAGCCAGTCGCCTTTGGGCAGTTTGGCTCTGACCTCGATCTTGCCATACTTGAAGGAGAACTTTCCTTTCGTCTTCAGTTGCGATGAAATCACTGGCGGAATAATGCGCCAGCCAAGAGCTGTTTGGTAGCATTCTGCTGACGCTCGCACTCCCGTACACCTGCAGAGTTAAATGTAAGTTTTGCAAAGAGTGGGCTAGTTTTGGTGCTGGCGCACTTTTCTCCCAAGTCGAACCCTTCGGGGCGCACTACGAACCCTTCGCCATAGAGTGAATCGGTCAAAATCGGAGTTATGGCCAAGCGGCTGTTTTCAACTGATAGTACTATTGGGTTGTCTTCGTAGATAACAAACTCATAATCCTGGAAAAGGAACTATGTAGAGTGATTCGGGTCGCGGTGGCGGAGAGACTCACAGGCCCAGTAGCGAATTTCCTTTGAATCGTCCAGAGATTCGCCTTGTTTTTCGCAAACTGGTCGAAACTGCTGTCGAAGATCAGTTGCCCTCTGCAGCTGTTCTTGCCCTTTACAGTCGTTGTGGAAACTTTGCAACCCCCATTCGAGCCTGTGTCGATTGAGGGCGATTTGGTGACGGGCGTTACTGTAGGGACTGGTGCCGGTGGGGGTTTTGCACCTGGCTTGGGCAGAAGCTCTAAAATATCCCAGTTAGACAAGATTTTTTTAATTGTAGATAAGTTCAATATTGTTGAGGCGGATTCATTTTCTTACAAAACAAACTGTTTGTTGGGTTTTTGCCTTAAAAACGACAGAATTTCCTCACGTCTTTTATTACAGATACAGAAAAAT